TTTCATCACCATTTTCCAGGCGAGGAAAAGAAGGCCCAGAGAGGTTAAGAGACTTGCCATGGTCACACAGCTTGTGCCTGGTAAAGTCAAGACTAGAATCCAGCTTTCCCTTCCCCTGTGCTATATGCCTGCCTCTAACTGTGGTGGGAGGAGGTTGCTGGATGCATTTCAGGGGGTGGGGGTGTTAGGAGCAAGGGTTCAGGGGGAATGAGGAGCGTATCTCCACTTAGCCACACCTACCCTACTCTCCCAGGTACCTGACTACCTAGACCACATCAAAAAGCCCATGGACTTTTTCACCATGAAGCAGAACTTGGAGGCTTACCGCTACCTGAACTTTGATGATTTTGAGGAGGACTTCAACCTTATCGTCAGCAACTGCCTCAAGTATAACGCCAAGGACACCATCTTCTACCGGGCAGCAGTGCGGCTCCGTGAACAGGGTGGCGCTGTGCTCCGCCAGGCCCGGCGCCAGGCAGAAAAAATGGGCATTGACTTTGAGACGGGCATGCATATCCCCCACAGCCTGACTGGAGATGAAGCCCCACAACACACTGAAGATGGTGGGTGATAAGTCATGCTACACACATAGAGGCCAGTGCCAGGGATGAACAGCTTTCCAAAAGCCCCCTACTGGGAACGGGCAGCGTAGGCAGGAAGTAGCTAGGCTGAGCGGTGGCAAGCTATCCCCAGGAATGCTCCCCAAGAAGCCAGACTGGGTGAAGATAGCAGTGCCCGCCATTCCACATCTTGGTGCTGCTGTTATACAGCTGTTCCTGGTGAGAAGCCAAGGGGAAAAGACTGGGTTTCTTGCTGCCTGCCCAGGTTCAGGGGGCCCAGAGGGCTGCCCTGAGTCTGACCTTTCCCCACCTCCCCATGTCCACCCCTAGCAGCAGAGGAAGAGCGGCTGGTCCTGCTGGAGAACCAGAAGCACCTGCCGGTGGAAGAGCAGCTAAAGTTGTTGCTGGAGCGGCTGGATGAGGTGAATGCCAGCAAGCAGAGCGTGGGCCGTTCACGGCGTGCAAAGATGATCAAGAAAGAGATGACGGCACTGCGGCGAAAACTTGCCCACCAGCGGGAAACTGGAAGGGATGGGCCTGAGCGGCACGGCCCCACGAGCCGGGGCAGCCTGACACCTCACCCGGCAGCCTGTGACAAGGATGGGCAGACAGACAGTGCCGCCGAGGAGAGCAGCAGCCAGGAGACAAGCAAAGGTCTGAACCCCCTAGCAGGGTGGACTCCAAAGCAAGCCAGACTTGACTCTGCAGCACACACTTAGCCCCTGCCATCCCCCAGGCAGAGGTTTCTCCTACACAGCTAGCTGTACTTTCTCCCTCATTCCCCATTCAGGGGCCTCTCAGCTGCCTCTCTGGCTATTTGTATAAGAGACAATGTTCCCAATTCCATACCCCCCAGATCATCCCCCAACTCTAGCTGGAGTAATGGCCCTATAGACCCAGGGCATACCCTGGGCATCTACCCTTCCCACATCAGGCCCCTCACCAACTCTCCTTCTCTCTTTCTCTGCTCCAGGCCTGGGTCCCAACATGTCCTCAACCCCCGCACATGAGGTGGGCAGGAGAACCTCAGTTCTGTTCTCCAAAAAGAACCCGAAGACGGCTGGACCGCCCAAGAGGCCGGGCCGGCCCCCCAAAAACCGGGAGAGCCAGATGACCCCCAGCCACGGAGGCAGTCCTGTGGGGCCCCCCCAGCTCCCCATCATGGGCTCCCTACGTCAGCGCAAGCGGGGTAGGAGCCCCCGGCCCAGTTCGAGCTCAGACAGCGACAGTGATAAATCCACAGAAGACCCCCCAATGGGTGAGCCTCACCATCACCCAGCCACCCCCCTCCCCAAGAAAGTGAGCTAAGCTGCCATCGTCCCCAACATAACTCCCAGTTACCCTTCATTTGCCTATAATATATCAGAGCTAGAAGGGCCCTTAGGGATCCTTTAATTCAGTCCCCTCATTTTACAGATGGGGAAACTGAAGTCCAGAAACACTGACCCAGCTAGATTCCTATCCAGGATCCCCTCCATTGTATCACTTCACCTTTTCTCTTCTTACCCTCCTTGGGGATTTCCTGCCCTTTAAGCCATTTGTGTCTTAAGACCAGTAACTGCCAAGGGAAGTGCAAGGGGTGGGGCAGGACTATGGCCAACTGTGGCAGACCCTGCCCAGAGCTGGCTCTGTTGGCCAAAGTTGGAGGAATTTTCCAGCACAGAAGGGAAAGCTAAGCTCCTAGTCCCCCCTACCCCTGTGCCATCTCTGATCTACATCTTCCTGACCGATTCCTTCCCTCCTCCCCCTCCCGCCAACCAAGACTTACCAGCCAATGGCTTCAGCGGTGGAAATCAGCCAGTGAAGAAGAGTTTCTTGGTATATCGTAATGACTGCAGCCTTCCCCGGAGCAGCTCCGACTCTGAGTCCAGCAGCAGTAGCAGCAGCAGCGCTGCCTCAGACCGAACCAGGTACCAGCCTTCCAGATCAAGGCCTGTCTCCAGGATGCCCCTCCACGTTTTCCTATGGGAAGTGGGGTGCCAGCTACCTCAGCCTAGATTAAGATGGCTCAGACCCAAGATTCTCTGCAAAATAAACGGCATATATAAGAATGTCACCATAATGGAATAGTGGGAACCATCCTGGGTTAAGCTGACAGAGCAGAGAGTGTAAGCTGATGCCTTGGGGCCTGGATTTGGCCTGCATACATACTTTGTTTGGCCAGCATGGTGTTTTTAAAAAAATGAATCCAGTACTCCCACATAAAATTCCTAGTGTCTGTATTCTCTTTAAAAATCAGATCTGGCAAATCTAGCCAGTGCTGCCTTTAGACGGGGTGTACTCATCACCACCACTGCTAAATCCAGCCCATGTCCATCACATCACTGCCAACCCTCTGAGGGCATTTGGGTTTGAAATTTTTCAAGTGGCCTCAGCTTTCAAAAATTCTTAGACCCTGGGGCCCAGTTTAAAGAGAGGACATCTACCATGCCATTACCCACTCTTCCCCTCCTTTACACTGAGTTCTTATTGTCTTGTCCATAGCACAACACCCTCAAAACAAGGCCGGGGCAAGCCCTCCTTCTCTCGGGGCACGTTCCCGGAAGATAGCAGTGAAGATACCTCAGGCACTGAGAACGAGGCCTACTCCGTGGGCACTGGCCGCGGCGTGGGCCACAGCAGTAAGTACCCTCACCCAAGGCCAGGGATGCCGGGGGCCCAGTGTCAGGGCCTTGCCAGCCCCCTGGCTGCTGATCCACCCCCTCTCTCCCATTCCTGTGAAGTGGTAAGGAAGAGTCTGGGACGGGGAGCTGGCTGGCTGTCAGAGGATGAAGACTCGCCCCTGGATGCTCTGGACCTGGTGTGGGCCAAATGCCGAGGATATCCATCATACCCAGCTCTGGTAGGCTTCCCCTTTTCTTATCATACCCCTTGTCTCCCAACACCAGATGGCAGGCACAGTTAGCAAACTTTACTTACTTTCTGCTGAGCTGCAGAGAACAAGGGTCTTTGGCAGATAGACACTTGAGAGGTTCCTGGTTAGTTGTTCCAGGTCTCCCTTTTCCTTCCGTTTGTACCCTTGGGTTTGAAATAGTTCATCATGAGAAGAAGCCAAGGGTCAGCACTGCAGCCTTGGGGCATAATAACCTTTCTCTGTCCCCACTTCAGAGATAGTCTTCCAGTTCTTAGGTAGAGTAAGCCGTGCAGAAGAAGGGGACTGAACCAAACAAAGGTCTTATTACACCCTCAGATAATTGATCCAAAGATGCCCCGGGAAGGTATGTTCCACCATGGGGTTCCCATCCCTGTGCCCCCACTGGAGGTGCTGAAACTTGGGGAGCAGATGACCCAGGAAGCCCGAGAGCATCTCTACCTCGTCCTCTTCTTTGACAACAAGCGAACCTGGTAAGGGAGGAGGGGAGCATTTGGTGTGACTCACAGCCACAGATGCAACTCTGGGTATAGGGGCCGGCTGCCAGGAAATTCCAGCAAGACAGACTGGGCTATCACAAATCAGAGGGGGAGGGACTTAGATCTTTGAGCAAAAGGGTTGTGTTGACCATGAGTCTGAGAGCCTGAGTGGGCAGCAACTGACAAACAGCTGTAGCTAGAAGCCGAAGGGCCATTAGTGACTGTGACAAGTGTGCTCCCCACCCAGACTTAGGTAGCTTCTAGACTTAGTTTTCCCACCTCTGCCTTCGTGGTGACAAGATGGGGATAAAACAAGCATAAACATTCACGCTCTGAATCTCTGTTCTGTCACATGTACGTAATGTGCTTTTGTGCATTGTCTGCAGAGGATATTTAATGTCCATTAAGTCTGCCAGGAGCCTATGGGACAGGGTACCTATTTCAGGTTAGGTCATGGCTCTGCCTTTTTTGCACTCAGAAATACCCTGTGGTTACCCCGTAGTAGGTCTGTTGACTGGGCTCTTTTCATCACTAGACTATGAGCCGTTCCTAGAGGGCAGGGACTATTTCTCTTAGTCTCAGTAACCCCATTGCCCAACAGAGCCTGGCTCAGTGTGGGCGCTCAGGAGGTGTTTTTGAATGAGTGTGTGATGAAGGCTGGTGCTTGTTGCTTTCCCAGAGATGACTTATGTGATCCTCACCTCGTCCTACAGGCAGTGGCTGCCGAGAACTAAGCTGGTTCCTCTGGGCGTGAACCAGGACCTCGACAAGGAAAAGATGCTGGAGGGCCGCAAATCCAACATCCGCAAGTCAGTGCAGATTGCCTACCACAGGGCTCTGCAGCACCGCAGCAAGGTGCAGGGCGAGCAGAGCAGTGAGACCAGTGATAGTGACTGATAATGCCCAGCACAGCCCAACCTACAGTGCCCTGCCACCTCTCTCCTCCCCCCTTTGCTCACTGTCCTGGAGTGGCACCGGCCTCTGCACTGACTCATTCCTGGTCTTGGGGCCAGTCTCAGGGGAAGCTGGGTGGGGGAGGTCCCTCCCGCCCTGAGTGCAGCTGGACTGTACAGAACACTCCAAGGGCCCATGGTGGCTCTGCGCAAGGAGAAGGGAGGTCCCACTGGCCAGAAAGCTCCAGAGACCTCACAGCATTGTAGTGCAGGGTGGTGGGCCAAGGTTAGGACACTGCATAAAACAGGCCATCCCACCACCTCTGCCTGCTCTGCTTGTTCCAGGAGAATCTGTAACTGCCTAGTGGCCTGAGGCCCCCTGCAGGTGGTGAGGTGAGAGGGCATCTGCCCAGCCTAGCAGTGGGATTGATGTCTGTCCAGCCCGGAAGAGGGGCACTAGGTGACCCCCTCCCCTGCTGTTGTAAATACTGTAATTAGCGGAGAATTTAAATTATTCTCATTTGTAACTGCGTTTCCGGGTCGCGCCAGAGTCATTTGGTACTAAAAAAGACTGGGGCCTGTCCCCACTTCCCTTTTCCCCATAGATTCCCCCACCTTTCAAACTGGTTTGTATTTATTTCAAAGGAAGAAAATATATTGATTCTTAGAAAATAAATGGTCTGTTTGGAATTCTTGGGTTCTTACTTCCTACCAGGGCAAAGGGATAAAAAGGGAAGCTCCGTCCCCCAGGGATAGTAAATAATTGGGCTCAAGAGGTTGCTGGTTGCTGTGCCTGCTGCATTTGTAAGACAACAGCAAAGACGATATAACAGTTCCCATTTCCCAGGCACTTAACTGAGTGGCAGGCCTTGTTCTAAGCACTTTTAGATACACAATTTCATGTAATCCTTGCAATAACTCTGGGGAAAGTTAATAATAGAGTGGGTATCTCCACAAAGACACTGAGGTTAAGAAAAATTAACTTGCCTAAATTTCCACAACTAGGAAGTCGCAGAGCTAGGATTTGAACTCAGGTCTGTTTGTCTGCCAAGCTGGCTTTTTAACCAGCATGCAGAACTGCTGGAGGAAGAGTCTACTGCCCATCCCTTCATGAATTTCAGATGCTTCAAGTCCTCTGCCAGTAGGATAGTCCAAGTGTTTCAGAGTCTCTATAGCTGTGACCTTCACCTGTTTAACTGGGGCCAGAGCAGGCATGTAGAGGATTGCTTTTCACTCATTCCCAACCTTGGCACCCCCTTTACAGATTCAGTTACTGAAGGAATACTTTCCAAGTGCCAGGCGCCTGTGGGCTGGCACGCCTAGAGATGAGACAGCCACAGGACATAGGTGCTCAAGGGCCTTGCAGCTGTTGAGGAGTGGAGCAGACAAAAACACCATTTGATGATAACCATGCTCCCGGTGCTCCCTACTAGGTACTGTGGGTGGGACACAAATCAGCTGCAAATCTTGCCCCTGAGGAATCTGCAGGCTACTCATTCAGACACAGTAACCCCAAATCACTGCTCTACAAGGTGAAAATGGCCCAGAAAAAGTTCCTGTCTCCTAGCTCCTTGCTGATTGTGTTCCTCCACAAGGGAAAAATTACTTAAAACATCTTTCCTCGGCCCAGACAGGCCCCACTGGGCACGGGTGTGAGATGATGGAGTGCTGTTGAAGGAATGCCCCGAGACTGAAGGGAGCAGCTGGGCAGCGCAGCTGCGGCCGGGGCGCGGCAGTCCGAGGAGCCCGGCCTCTGACGGAGTGAAGTCTTGAGGCCTGACCGCGGAGTCGAGGCTCGGTGAGGCCTTCTGGAGCGGAGCGGCCCAGCCGGCGAGTGCGAAGACAGGATCCGCAGGCGACGGACGCTGTGGAGACGCCTCCCGGGGGCTCGCAGGGGCCCGAGCTGTGTTCGGGTCCGATTCTCGGTCAAAAGGGCGAATATGTGACTGGAGAAGCTCGGTGGAGAAAGGCTTTCTGAGGACGGTGAGGGACAGGATTTGGTTCTGCGGGCAGGCAAGCCTGAGGAACCCCGAGGGTCTGAGGAGATCAGGCCGTAAGGATTGGGGCCCGAGAGCGCATTCCGCGGCCGGTCCGCGGGGCGCGGCGATTGGACACCCTGGCGTGCAGAGTGCAGACATCCCCAGAGGAGAGGCCGAGAACGGGCAGTGAGCCCAGCGCGCGCCAACCGCTGCGGCGCCTCAGAGAGGCCCGCCCACCTACCACCACACCCTGTTCTCATTGGCGCCTCTCACTTCTTCGCGGATTGGCTACCTCCGGATCCAATAAGCCAGGCCTGAGTCCTACTTCCGGGGAGAGTGAGGTCGGCCCCCTGGAGAAGCCGGAAGAGTGCATTTGCGCGCGCTTCCCAAAGTCACTGCAGCTCGGAGGACAGTGGTGCGCGCCGCGCGGGAGGCGGGGGCTGGGGCGGACCGTAAGGGGCGGGGCCTACGGGGAGTGGAAGAATTAAATGAAACTGGGCGGGCCTTAAGTAAACTAGGGGACAAGGGCTTTATGGGCGAGGCCTTAAGGGCTGTGTAGTCTGTGTGGGCGTGGTCTTTTGGCTAAGCGAGATCTGGTACCGAGTGGGCGGGGCCATTATGAGGCGGAGCCTGGCGTGGAATTGTTCGCTCCCTTCTGCTATGCAGCATGGGGCATCGTACTCTAGCTTCTTTCCCGGCCCTGTGGGCCTCCATCCCCTGTCCACGCTCGGAGCTGCGCCTGGACCTGGTTCTGGCTTCCGGACAGTCCTTCCGGTGAGTGACCCTGACTCCTCGACCCTCGACACTGCAGGTCTGGAGTGTAAAGGAATGTTGGGGGTAATGGCAGAAACCTCAGGGTACAAAAGAGGAAACTGAGGCACGGGTGGTGAGCTTGTTTACCCCCTTTATAAAGTGGAGGTAAAAAAGCAGTGCAGGGGCACTTGGGTGGCCGAGTCGGAAGCATCCGACTCTTGATCTCTGCTCAGGTCTTGATCTCAGGGTCCTGAGTTCAAGCCCCGCGTTGGGCTCCACGCTGGATATGGAGCTAACTTAAAAAAAAAAAAAAAAAAAAAGCCAGTGTATTGTTGTGAGGATCAAATGACTTGGCATTTCCTAAGTCAGTTTTGTGTATGAAGCTGTTGTAGAATGGGAGGGCCCCAAAGGGTGCAAGAAAGAAAACTGAGTACCAGGGCTGCTGTGTGCCTGGGGGCTCAGGTGGAGGGAACAAAACCCTGCGCACTGGACTGGAGTGCTGGCGAACCAGGTCTGGACACTGACCCAGACTGAGGAGCAGCTCTACTGTACTGTGTACCGAGGCGACAAGGGATGGGTTGGCAGGCCTACACCAGAAGAGCTAAAGACTGTGCACCAGTACTTCCAGCTGGATGTCAGCCTGGCTCAACTATATCACCATTGGAGTTCTGTGGACCCCCACTTTCAAGAAGTGGCTCAGAAATTCCAAGGTGAGTTCAAGGATTGGGGCAGGGTTTGGAGTTCTTGTAATTTGGTTACACAGTTTCACCATCTGTAAAATGGGGATTATATCACAGAATTTTACAAGGATTCATAAATCACAGTTTTACAAGGATTAAAGTAGTTAATTTAACGTGTAAAGTTTTGCTTAGAATAGTGCCTGACACATACTAATTATTTATTACTATTATTATTGTTCTGCTGATTACCACAGTGTAGTGACAAGGGTATTGGGCCAAATCCTGGCTGTGTGACCTAGGGCAGGTGACGTCATTCAGTCTGTAAATATTTACAGAGCATCTGCTATGTGACTGGATATAGCAGTGAACAAAACAGACACAAATCCCCATCCTCATAGTGTTTCCATTGTGGCTTCTATATCTGGGAAATGTAATGATAGCCCAGACCTCATGGATTCTATGAGGAATGAGAGTTCTGGTGTTGCTTTCTTTAAAAATACTGTCCATCATTCCCCTGGGATGCTTCTAGGTCTTTGGTACCTAGGATCTGAGGGTGAGAAGAGGCCACTCCTGACAGCAGGTCTGTATCCTATCCCCTACCTTTCCCCAGGTGTGCGACTCCTGCAACAGGACCCCATCGAGTGCCTTTTCTCCTTCATCTGTTCCTCCAACAACAACATTGCTCGCATAACTGGCATGGTAGAACGGCTCTGTCAGGCCTTCGGACCTCGGCTCATCCAGCTTGATGATGTCACCTACCATGGCTTCCCCAGCCTGCAGGCTCTGGCTGGTGAGTAGGTGGGTCCCTGCCCTCAGACCCTCCAATAGCTTTCAGGGTCTCTTCACTTCTCCCCTGGTCCCCATCTCCCATCTCAAAGCTTCTTGCCTTCCCAAACACTGCCCTCTTCCAGAACCACCTTGCCTGGTCTGATCAGCCCCACCAAATCCTCCCCGTCTGTCCCTAAAATGTCAGCACCTCACTAGTCTTTGCTTTATACCCCATGGGTTCAGTGCTTCATCAAAGAAACAAAACAAAAAAACCCCACTATATATAGTATATGGTACTTTGGGGTTAAGAGCATTCATTCTGGAGACAGACTGCCTAGGTCTGAATTCTACCTTTGGCACTTGACATCTAGCTGTATGACCTTGAGCACATTATTTAGTCTCTCTGTGTCAGTTTTTTCATCTGGAACAAGATAATAATGGCACCTACCTAACCGAGTTGCCAAAAGGGTGAAGTAAAGAAATACACATACTTCATCTAGGACAGTGTTTGACATACAGGAATTATGCAGAAAACTTAAGTTGCCATCTCTAAGGGAACCCAAAAATTTTGCATCCAAGAACATTAGGGTTCTTCATAGCAGCCCTGTAAGGCAAGTATTTTACAGAGGCAAATATATCAGTTGGCAGATGTGAGAATCTGCCACATTCTCTATGCAGTGCTTAGGGACTGCATAGTAAGGAATCAGGCCAGCTAGAGAAAAGAGAATGTTTTTGGTACTTAGAAACCCCGTCTTGGGGGTGTTGGGGAATAGAAACCCAGTCTTATGTCTCAGCTCCCAGTTTAGTCATAAGACCAAAAGAATTCATTTACCTATCCAAGCTTCTCTTGTTTGTAGGATGGGAATAACAGTTTCTATTCAGAAGGGTTTGAGCGGTGAGTAAAGCATTCATGAGGTAGGGTGCTCTAAGAGTGTAAGAGCATGGGCTTTGGTTTCCCAGACCTGGGTGCAAGATCCCATCTACACCCTGTCCTTTCTTGAGCAAGTTATTACCCTAAATAATAGTGCTGTTGTCAGGGTCCTTGAGAAAAGTGTAATAATGTACCTAAAGCACTTTGCCCCCACACGATACCCAGCACTTGATAATAGAAGCTATTGTTGTTATTATGGTTATTATTTGAGATCATAGATGTGAATGCACTTTGGAAAGGTTAAAGAACTCAGCTGGGCAGTTCCACCAGGGCAGCAAGTCCTTCTTGTTCCTGCTCCATGCCCAACACTGGGTAGTAGGTGCTCAGAAAACATTTGTAGAGGGGCAGAACCCAGGCTTTAACCCTTACTTTTGCACAAGTAAGTGTCCTGGCATCTCCCAAAGGGCAATGAGGTGGGAGAGAGGTGCCTAGGGAAAGCATTCCTGTGAGGCAGAGGGCTCACACACTAGCTTGAAGACAAGAAGTATTTGAAGATGCTTGACCCCTATCCTCCCCAACTCCCAACAGGGCCAGAGGTAGAGGCTCAGCTCAGGAAGCTGGGCCTGGGGTACCGTGCCCGCTACGTGAGTGCCAGTGCTCGAGCCATCCTAGAAGAACAGGGCGGGCTGCCCTGGCTGCGGCAGCTGCACAAGGCCCCTTACGAGGAGGCCCACAAGGCCCTCTGCACCTTGCCCGGGGTGGGCACCAAGGTGAGGTCCCATTGGGATAGGAGCTACCCTCACCGCCCATGTGGAGAATAGCAGAGAAGGAGACAAGGCAGGCCTGAGAGCTGGGTACATGCTTGGCTTCTGGAGGCAGAGCAGGAAGAGAAAGGATACAAGCAGATGTCTTATTAGAGAAAATGCAAAGTGCAGAAGGAGTATACAGGACTTTGTCCCTTGAGTGCATTTTTAAAAAGGCTATTCAGGTGCACATATACACTGCTATATGTGTACAAAAATTTCCAGGAGGAACCACAGGAAACTTAATAGTGGTTACCTATGGGAAGACAAGTGGAAAGATGTTTTTCCTTTTCATGTTGTTCTTATCTTGAAATTATATGTACTTATAAAAGTTTTTGTTTAATATCAACAAGGTTTGCTAGCAGTAAAATGATTGGGAATTGGGCATTTATTGTTTTCTTCTTTATACTTCTCTCTAGATTAAAAAAATGGATTTTTGTTTAAAAACCTTTTTTAATGGGCTCTGAACTTCAGCCTAACAGAGAATCTTGGTTCTGCCTCTTCTAGCCATGTAACCTTGGCTAAGTCACTTCACCTTTCTGAACCTGTTTTCTTGTTTGCAGAATGGATATAGTACTGCCTTCTTCCCAGGTTATGATGAGAATCTGGCCCACATGGGTGTTCACACAGTAGAAATCTCATCATAGCTATTTTTAAAGTTATTACAAGAGGCTGTATATTGATGGAGAATATAAAATAATAGTAACCTCGGAGTGGAGAAGGAAACAGCCAGCTTTAGGACCAGAAGCAGGATGCTGGCTGGATCCTGCCATTCCTCCTCTGTGGCTCACTCTTTTTCTTTCAAAGGTGGCTGACTGCATCTGCTTGATGGCCCTAGACAAGCCCCAGGCCGTGCCCGTGGATATCCACATGTGGCAGATTGCCCAGCGTGACTACAGCTGGCACCCCACCACGTCCCAGGCCAAGGGTCCGAGCCCCCAGGCTAACAGGGAACTGGGTAAGGAGGGAGTGGGACACTGGAGCTGGTAGTGGGCTGAGGTGGTAGAAACTTTTCACACCTCTCCATAAAATCCCACTCCTGTGGATAGGGAGTAGGAGGGCCAATTAATTTCACCTTATCACTCTGGTGTAGGAAGCTTTTTCCGGAGCCTGTGGGGACCTTATGCTGGCTGGGCCCAAGCAGTAAGTGTACTGAAGCTTCTCTTCCTCCTCCTCCTCCCACCCAGACCCCTTAGGACTCCTCCCCCAGCCCTGACCCAGTTGACTCCTTCACCACCACTGCCATTCCAGGTGGTCCTCTAGGACTCTTCACCCACCCCAGCCCTGACTCTAGTGGCCGCTCCTTGCCCTGACCCTGCTCCCTGTGAACTCTTGTAGCTCTCCACACTGCCACCAGCCCCACCAGCCCTGACTCCATGTACCCTGACCCCCAAGAGTGTCCTCCCTGCTGCCCCCAGGTACTGTTCAGTGCTGACCTGTGCCAACCCCACCGGGCTCAGGAGCCACCAGCAAAGCGCAGGAGATCTACAGACCCAGAAGGCTACGTGGGGGGCACTGGACAAAGGGGTTCCCCAAATACCTCTCCCCCCATCCAGTTTTGTGTTGGGAAGGGGGCTTCCTGCAACTACCTTAGGGGCCAGGTGCACTCAAATTAAGTAGTTTGCACAGCAGTGTGGGGTGGGGATTCTCTGGAGAGACAGAGCTACCTATGTTTTTATCTCTTCCCTTTATTACAAGAAAGAACAATAAAATAGAAACATTTGTATGGAAAATGCAGCAGAGGAGTGATAGGGAAAGGGGTGGGGAGGCGGCGGGGCAGGGTAACTCTCCAATTCAGGGAGGGATGGGGAGCAGGGTGCCCCAACCCCTCCCACGCGAAGGGTTCGGACCCTGGATCCGGGGCCCTAGAGCTGTGGAGGCAGCGCAGGGGACAGTCCCGGACCCGGCTCCGCGCAGCCGTCTCGACAGCAGCAGCCAGCTGCTGGCCCTGCATGAGGAGAGAGAACAGAGTTGGCCATAGGCGCAGACCCTCCACTCCAGCCTGGATGCCTCCTCATGGACCACTCACGCCTTTCACAGAGCACTGGTCCTCACCCCCAGCTGCTGGTGTCAGCAGCTCCCCGTGGCTCGCCGTCGGTCCCTGCCCCTCCTGGCTGGTGCCCAGCTGGAGCTTCCTCATGTGCCGCACCACAGCCGTGGCATTGAAAGCTTGCTGTGGGGAGAAGGGGGAGATCATGTGACAGGGTCTAGTGGTGGAATTCTTGCACTGGTTTTGTTATTTTTCCTTTAGGTGTTAGTGGTTGATCCGCTAAAGCCCCTGAAACCTCTACAAGTCTTTATTAAATGACACTCAGCCATATTATATATTTATACACACGTACATGCATATATATAAAATATGTGTATATGAACAAGTATATATTATAACCCTTTATAATTAATTCATCGCAAACAATATAGCAGCATGTGTCAGGCACTGTTCTAAGCACTTTATTTAGCAATTTATTTAATCTTCACAAAGGTCTTTGAGGTGGGCTCTGTTAGTGTCACCATTGCCACAGGAGAAAACTGAGGCACAGGGAGGTATTTCCCCAACCAAAATCTTGGGCTAGCCCTTGACATCTCTCTCTGCCAACATCTCTTCTACCATCACTTGTCAGTTCTACCTCCTAAAGGACTCCTGAGCCATCCACTGTTCTCTGGTCCAAGCCCTCACCATCTCCTGCCCACATCTCTGCTACAGCCTCCCAGGCGTCAGTCCATGGCTCTCTCTGCACCCTGAGAGCCCTTTCTGGAAGGCAGGTTACTGCTGAAAATCTTTCTGGGGCTCGCCAGTATCTTCAGGACTGAGTCCGTTCTCCACTGTGGCACTCGAGGCCTCTACCTGCATTTCCAGTCTGGGCTCCTGCCCCGCAGCCCCTCCAGTCCATCCAGGCTTACTGAACACGTGCACCTCCCTGAATGGCCACATTCTCTCTCTCTTGCCTCTGGCCCTCTGCATGCCAGTTCCCTCTGCCGCAGACATGATTCTGCTGTACCTGGCTGATTCCTACTCAGCTGTCGAGTCTGATAAGTCTGTTAGGCCATCAGCATCCTTCCAGGACCCCGTAGATTGGAGTAGATGTCTCTAAGTTATACTGTTCTCCCTCTAGACTTGGAGGTCAGGGACTCTCACTGGGACAGAGTAGGTGTCAGGGAGTGTTGAATGAATGAGGTTCTTTAGTAAGCATCCCTGAGCAGTTACTGTGTGCTTGACTTGATGCTAGGTGCTGTGGGAGCTGAGGTCTGGAGTGGGCTGGGAAGGACGCCTAGGGAGGCTGGGACCCAGGATTAGGAACGTGGGCTCACCTTCCACTTGCTCTTGGCAAAATTCTTCTTGATCTGCTCGCTCACCGACTGGTGAATATTCTTATCTAGAGCCGTATCTCCTGCAATCCTAGGATGCGGGTGTGTGGAGGGTTGTCTGTGAAGGCAGAGGCAGCCTTGAAGGGCCCCAGACCCCACCCCAGCTTGCAGCTTGTGGGAGCCCTCACCATGGGTGCTGCAAGGCCTGTTCACAGGTGAACCTCTTTTCAGGGTCCTTCTCCATCAAGTGCCGGATGAAGTCTTTGGCTGAACCAGAGGCAAGAGCAAAGACAGAAACAGCATGGTGGTGCCTGTGGACACCCCCAAGACAAAACCCACCCCCTCAGGTCTGGCCTGGTATTTAAGCAAGACAAGAGGCCAGATCTGTCCATGCAGCACGTGATCCCACTTGTACTCTTTCTCTAAGCCCCCCACCCACCGCAGCCTTCCAGCTCTCTCCTTTTTCCCGTATGAAAAACTTGTTCTTAAAGAAGATTCTACTCAGTGTATTCACACTGATGTGTAAGTGACTGATAATGGCTTCATAGGTTTGCCTCCTAATAGGAGGCACAAAAGGACAGATGAGAACCTTCATGGTGGTGTTTGAGGCATTAGGAAGTCAAATGGGTGAGGTATTTTCAAAAATACTATTTTTGAAGGTGAATGAATGCATGCCTACAAGCTTCTCAGACCGGGGGCCAGGCAGAGGGAAGCACCTGGGGTGGGGTGTCTGGTCTGGAAAACAGCTCTTAGTTTGGGGCTGGGGAATCTGACCAAAGGCAGGCAGTGAAGAGACCCCAAAACAGATGTGAAAGGCACCAGAGGTAGGGCCCAGGGGAAGAAGGCAAAGCCTCAAATACCAGAGTCAGAGATGTCGTCCCAGTAAGGAGAGTCAAACTCGTACTCGGCCTTCAAAATCTGTTCAAAGAGTTTGGCATCATTCTCGTCATAGAAGGGGGGGTAACCGCAGAGCCTGGGCAGGGAGAAACTCATCCTCATATCCACTTTCAGTGCACCCATTGGCTCCAGGATGGAGCTTTGGGGCAGTCTTGGGTCAGGCAGCACCCACAGGAGGGAGTTCCCCCTTTTACAAAGAGGGGATATCTGCCCCTCTCTGATTTTTTTCATTCCTGTCCAGCTACACTGGCCTTTCTGTTTCTTAATTTGCTACCATCTTTCCTTCCTCAGGGCCTCTTGCACTCGCTGTTCCTTCTGCCTAAACCATTCTTCCCCCACACCTCGAATGTCTGGCTCCCTCACTTCATTCAGGAGGCTATTCAAATGTCACCTCCTAAGAAAGGACTTTCCTGACCTCCTTATCTAAAATGGCATCCATCCCCATCTCCCTACCCTGCTTGACTTTTCTTCATAGTATTTTAATACCTGACATTATTTTATAGATGTATTTACTTGTTTATTATCTATCTCCCCTACTAGAGTTTTTGCTCCCTGAGGGCAGGCACTTTGTTTTGTTCTCTGCTAAATCCCCAGTGCTTAGCATAATGCCAGAAACATAGTATATATTGAATGAAGTAATCTTACTCATTAATTGGTAGATATAAACATAGGGGGCAGGAAAGAAGAAATAGCAGAGAGGAGGAAGAGAGCAAAGTAGGGGAGAGGAGAACACTGGAGCCACATGCCCCAATGGCCAAGCCCCCACTCACAGAATGTAGGCAATGACCCCAATGGACCAGCAATCCACTGCCTTGCTGTAGGGCTTCTGGGCCAGGACCTCGGGGGCTATGGAGGGAAAGGGACATGGTGGTGACAAATCTCTGCCCTGCAGCTCCCAATTCCTCCCCTACACATGGCCCCAGCCCAGGATGCTCCATACCCACATATCCTGGGGTTCCACAGGCTGTGGAGAGCACACTGCCAGGGTCCTCCATCTTGGAGAGCCCAAAGTCAGAGATCATGATCTTGGAGTCCTCATCCAGGCTGTAGTACAACAGGTTCTCTGGCTTGGAAGGGGGAGGGAAAGGAAGAGAAAGAGATGGCCAGACGCTGGCAGAACCATCTGCCTCCCCAAGCACCCCTCAAAAACTGAGCCTCCCAAAAGCCACTGTGTTGAAGGCACATGAAGCTCAAGGAAGTTCTCAAGAAGGTTAAAAGTACCAGAAAGGACGAGCCTCGGGAATGTGAGAGGGAATTTTCTATAAACTTCAGGTTTATATTGTGAGCCCTGAATAATTTTTGAGCACCTACTGTGTGCCAGATCCTGTGCTAGTGCTTGATTTCATTTCTTCCTTACCACATCCCTGTCAGGCCAATCTGAATAACCCCACTTTACAGATGGGAAAACTGATGCCTTGAGAGGCAAAGTGACTTGCCTGAGAACCTACAGTTAGGGAGTAGTAGGGACGGAATTCAAGCCCAGATCTGTCTCACCCCAGAGCTTTTCTAGACCGGAGGAGATGTACTACAAAATGTGAATCCATCACAGTCTCTGAAGTGTAGGATTTCAGGGGTTTCTGGCTTCCTTCTTTATGTTTTGCTGTCCCCTCCATGTTTTCTACAAAGAGCAAGGGGGACTTTTATTGTGAGAAAAAGACCTAGCCGTTATTTGGACAGAATACCAGCTCCTTTCACCTTTGTATCCATTGAAGTGTCCAAACTGGAAGGGGAGGAGGCAGTTTAGGCTTTACAGGGTGCATTTTGCAGAAGGGAAGCCAAAGCTCAGGGAAGGGGTAAGAGTTGCCCCAGGTCATACAGTGAGGGGTTTGTGGAGGCCCCACCCGGCACCCCAACTCACCACACACCCTCGCACCCCACCTTGAGGTCTCGGTGTACGATGCCCAGGTCGTGCAGGTACTTGACGGCATCTAGCACCTGGAAGATGAGGCGGCTGGCGTCCCGCTCTGTGTAGAAGCCTTTCTCCACAATGCGGTCAAACAGTTCCCCGCCGGACACCCTGCAGCCGGGGACAAGACAGTCTGGCCACAGAGGCTAGGGAGGGGCAGCAGGGAGAGGTGTGAGCAAGGGGTGAGGCCACTCACAGCTGCATGATGAGGTAGAGGTGACCCCCACTCTCATAGATGTCATCCAGGGCTACAATGTTGGGGTGCTTGATCCTGAAAGGAGAAATGAGGTAGTTCAGAGCTGAGGACAGCTCAGCCACTTTGCTACCCTCACCTCGAAAGACCACTACTGCAGACCTGGACAGGACAAACCAGAGTTCTGGGTCCCAAAAGGAAAAGCTGATTTACCACAATTTATTATGATGTAATGGAAAGTAGGAGAGCACAGAGATTGTAAACAAACACTGGGCCCTAGCATCGGACCCATCTGACTGGGTCTCACCTGCCTCTAGTGTGTGCTGTCGGAGGCAAGTCTTTTCACCTTGCGGCACTGATCAATACATGCTTTTTAAGTGTTTCTGTGTTTTTAAGTCCGTCAGCCTCCGCCACCAGAACACCAGCTCCAGGAGACCAGGGGCTTTATCTTACCATTGTTCCTCCACACCTGGTGTAGAGTAAGTGCTCACTTATTCATTGAATATTAAGCCTCAGTTTCCTCATCTATAATATGAAGCCAATGACTTCCCTCAGTACTTCCCTCAAAGAGTTGGGGTGAGGATCACGTGAGAAAGTGCAGGTAAGAATCTCGGTATAATGCCTGGTACACGGTGAATGCTCAATAAATGAACCAATTATGGTGACTGAGCTTGACAGAAGCCATGGCTCTGCCCCAAAGTTGCTGTGTGACTTTGGGCGAATCCCTTACCCTCTCTGGGCCTCAGTCCCCTCCCCCACCCCGTAGTGGAAATTATCATTTCATCCCTGCCCAGGGTGGTTGGAAAGCTCAGGAGAGAGGATGGAAGTGAAGGTTCTCTATAAGCTTTCCAGTGAGGGCAGCAGGTTTCACATCGGTATGAGCTAATCATAGACTAGTTGATTATTTAATCAGAGGGTCATGAGACAGGCATTTTTTAACTTCCTGAGTGGCTTTAATATATAGGGGGGAACTTGAGGTAGGTCTACGATCGCACCAGTTGAGATACATTGCTTCAAGCCACGTTCAAGGATTGGCTTTTAGATCTGACTGAACAGATTAAACCACTGTAAATAAGCAGTGGCATTTCAGTCACATCTGTCATGTTAACTGCTGCACTAGACACATGAGATAAAGGAACCTCTAATGTTCTCCACAACCCTACCAAGTGGAGATTATTACCCCATTTTATAAATGAGCAATTTGAGGCTCACAAGTGAAACGATTTGCCCAAAGCAGAGGTAGGAAGAGAATGGGAGGAGTCAAGGCAGGGTCAACCCAGGCAGAAACACTGTGGCCCACGCACTTGTGCAGGACAGCGATCTCATTCTCCATGCTGCCCTCCTTGCCCTCCAGAGCCTTCTTGGCGATGCATTTGATGGCCACCAGCTTGTGAGTTCTCTTATCTTCTGCCAGGATTACCTCTGAGAAGGCCCCCCTGCAGAGAGAGGGGATTCATGAGCTGGGGAACTGGAACCTTAGCTTCCCTTCAGCCTCTCCTCCATACCCCTAAGGGTTAGGTGACCACCTGTGAACCAAGGATGTGGGATGAGCCTCCCTCCATCACTCTTCCACCCACCGCCCACCCCCGGCCCCGCAGTGGTCACATGACCGAGGTCTGGCCAATCAGAGTAGCCTATCCCTGGCCACAGTAATTGGGTCTTGTGATGCAAGTCAGGTTACTGGCACTTTGAGAATGAGCAGCTTTTTTCTGCCAAGCTGGTAAGATGCGAGCCTGGAGCTAATGGTGGTTATCTTTGCCACCACTTGAGAAGAGCCTGCTTGAGAATGAAGGTAACACAAAGGAAATCAGAGTTAAGAAATTCCTGATGACAATTTCCTGATAACATCATGTGAGTCTCTGAATCCAGCCATGCCTGACGTTTATGCCCTCAGCTTATTGATTTATGCATAACTGATGCATTTCTTTTTCTGCTACAGTCAATTTGAGTCATGGTTTATTAACACCTTTTATATCCTTGAAGAACCATCAGCATCACCTGGGAACTTTTTTATGAGTGCAGAATCTCAGGTCTCAACCCCAGACCCACTAAGTCAGAATCTGCATTTTAACAAGATCTTCAGGTAATCTGTATGCTCACTGGAATTTGAGAAGCAATATTTTACAACAAGCTCTTAGAAAAGAGCAAACTCATTTGCACTAGGGTTCACTGATAAGGAGGATATACTGGAGTATTTTTCTAGGACTTCTTGCTTTCTCTGGGATAAGAGGAAGTCATATGTCAAAACCATCTCTTGTGGTGAAATCTCAATCATCAGAATAACTAGTGACTGTGGGGGCGCCTGCATGGCTCAGTCAGTTGGGCATCTCCCTTTGGCTCAGGTTGTGATCTCGGGGTCCCAGGATCGAGCCCCATGTCAGGCTCCCTGCTCCACGGGGAGCCTAGTTCTCCCTCTGCCTCTCCCCTGACTTGTGCTCTCTCTCTCAAATAAATAAATAAATAAAATCTTGGAGAAAAAAAACAAAAACAAAAAAACCCTAGTGACTGTGGTAGCCTCATTGCTGGTTTCCAGTCTTGTCCCTCTCCAATTTACCCTCCACGCTTTGGCCAGAGTGACCATCCTGAATTGCAAGCCTGCGAAAATGTCTTAAATGTCTTCCTATGGCCCATGAGACAAAGTCCAGCCTCCATAACTTGGCTTTCAAGGCCTTACATGACCTGTTCTCTCTTCTCAGCCACTTCTTGCACTCTTCCCCAGTCTCTGATTATAATAAGCTCTATCATTCTTATCCTCTTTCCACACATAACCTGCTTCTCAGCCTTTGCTTATGCTCTTCCTTCTGCCTGGAATGCCCTTCTCCCTCTCTGACAAGTGCATTTCTGCTTATCCTTCAGTCCCTAGCTCAAATACCCGCTTCTCCAGAAAGGTTTCCCCAGGCAGAAGCCACCATTCTGGGCTCTACGAAGTCCTCGTTCCTGACTTTAATGGGAGCACATCATATACCCTGTTGTCATTTTCCCTGGGTGTGTTTCCCTCACATGTTTAGGACCGACTTGAGGGGCAGAGATCAGGTTTGAGTTATTTCTGGATTCCCACCACTGGGAAAAGAACCATGCCCAGCTTCAGTTCCTAACCTAGGCCAAAACCCCCAGCTCTTGGCCAAAAATTGGAAAAACTGGCTCCTTCCTTCTCCCTTACTTCCTTCTCTTCACAGGAACCCAGAGCTGTAGCCAAGAGCAGCGTCTGTTCTACCCACTGTCAGCCAGAAGTGAAAACATGGGCCAGACTGGGCCATGGCAAGGCCGCCACGGGGCTGGGACTATAGGAAACAGGAAGCAGTGATCAACTGACCAGAGGAAGTACCACCCTGGACTCAGCCTCCCCAGCCAGCCAGGCCCAAGAATGAAGACATTCCCAACCCACCCCCTAGCTCAGACAGCCTCCCCCGCCGCCCCCGCTTGCCTGCCCTGAGACTCACGTTCCCAGAACATCCCGGAAGTCGTAAATGTCCCTAATGTCCTCCACCTGCTTCCAGCTGGGGCCGTCCACTGCCCCCGGCATGGCCCACTGCCCCCTGGCCACAGCCAGGGCTCCTGAGAAGGGGAATGGAGGGAAAAGACTCAGTGGGGCCCAGCCTTCTATGTTGGAACTTCGGGAACTGAGGCCCCATTCAGTCATTCAGCCTGCATTTATTCATTCCTTGGTTCATTCATTTGACAAAATTATTCAGCAAATTCATTCATTCACCAGTCATTTGTTTCTCCCACAAGTCCTCATGCCTAGAGGAAAATCCTTCAGGGTGGCAACAGAAGTCTTTGTTCAACAAAGTCATTCGTTCACTAATTTATTCAGCTTACTTCCCAGTTTCTCCCTCTCCAAATCCAAACACTCAGGTGGACACTGACCCCCAGGAGGACAGCAGAGAAGACCCCAGAGCAGCTTGTAGAAGCACAGGGTCCTGGAGGGTCCCCCTATCCCCAGAACCAGCAATGTCTCAGCCCCACCCTGGGAATTGCTGGGGTGTCTCCTCTCCTTCCTCTTTCTTCTCCCACCCAGCCTCTCGGAAATCAGGTTTCCGGCAGCCTGGGCTTCCAGCAATATCTCAGTCACGTTTTTAAATAGCTCCTTCTGCACTGTTACCACGGCAACAACAGCCACAGCTGGAGCTCCCCAGGCCTCCTATTACCCCCCTCTCCCTCCTGGCTCCCTGTTTGGGTCCCAGAAGCCTGAGAAATGGGCTTCTTCTGACCCTGATCCAGCCTGTATCTTTCTCCATTGAGACCTCTGTCAGCCGGAGGGTGGGAGTTCTCTCCCCATTTATCAGATGGACAATGGGGAGACTGAGGTTGGCAATGGATAAGGACTGGGTCCATCTTTGCCCAAATGATGACTGGCTGGGGTCCAGCTAAGCTTGCTGAGGACAAAGGACTTTGATGGGGCCACTCTCAGCTTGTCTTTCCAATATGCAGCCAGACTGGGGCCCATTCAGAGCCCAGCATGCTGTGTGACCTCAAGGAAGGCACTTTCCCTTTCTGTTTCCTCTGTGGGAGAATGAGGGATGGTGTCCTGACTAGAGTCCCTGGTGTGAGATCCCACTCCTTGGAGGGGACCTGGTTCTCAGGAGGGGCCTGACCACCTATCCCAGGGGCAGAAACTTTTAGGAAAGGAGACATGATGGTAAGCTCTCAAGGCAGAGTTTTAAAACCCACCTGGAGGCTTGGCAAATGCAACCCTTACAGGTCCACAGACACACCCGAACACACCAAGCTCCACCCACACCTCTGAACCAAAATACCTGCCCCAAGATTCAGTACATTCCATACCCAGATACCCCAACACCCGATCATACATGTAAACCCAGACATCAGCACACATGTCCACACACACACTCCTCCTAGACATCCTCACACCCAAACATCCCTCCCACGGATCCCTCTTACACCCCCCCAAAACACACATCTGCACACACACACACACACACATTCCTCACCTATGTACTGGACATCCCAGATTCACTCATACCCTTCATCCTGTTTCTATACACCTTAGAAACTCCTGTGCTCCAAACCGCACCCCAACTCCTTACACACCTAACTTCAAACATCCTTAATACACAATCGTATAGCCTCAACTCTTACTACTCTTGAGCCAGATACCAGCATGCACAACACTTGGACACACATCTGCAACAAAAACAGATTCCCAGACACCCCCACCCATAAATATACCCTTACACACAACTCCATATCTGACCCACATGCCTGTGCTAAGACATTAGCACAACCCAACACAGCCCCCACATATCTATAGCTCCAAATGCCAAGTCCGTCCATATTCAGGCCCAGCCGAACACAGGCGCGCGCGCGCGCGCGCGCGCACACACACACACACACACACACACCCTCCCCACCTTCCTCTAGTACACGCTCAGTTCCCCCACAGCCGCCCGGCACCTGCTGGGCCTCGGGCCGACGTTGGAGAGAAAGGCCCTGCCCTGCCTCTCCCTGCCTATCCAGAGCCCAGCCCGTCCGGGCACCCACTCCCATCCTTGGGTGAGGGTATCCAGCGACTGGGGGCGTCTGGCCACCCCTCCTCCGCGCCCCGGAGCACAGGCGGGGCGGCGCCTGGGCTGTACCTGCGGCTGCCCCGCCGCGGGGCTGGCTGGGACGCCCGAGGTGGCTGGCGCCGAGCTCTGGCTGTCGGTTGCCGTCCGCCGCCGCTCCGCTCCTGGCTCACCCGCCCGCTCTCTCGCTGGGGCTCGGCTCGGGCTCTGCTGGCCCCCTCCGCCCGCCTGCGGCTCTGATGTCAGTGGAGGAGGAGCCTGCGGCGGGGGGGACGACGGACTGGAAGGCTCCGCTGCGCTCCCGGGCTGGGGAAGGGGCGCGGTGGTTGAGGAGGAATCCCCTAGTTCAGGACAGATCCTCTTCTGCACTCTTCCCTCCCCTCCTCTCTGCTGGAGCCCCCATTTCACAGAGGGGACAACTGAGGCCCTGAGAGCTGAAGGGTTCAAAATCAGCAGTTGGTCAGAGGAAAAATCGAATTCGAATCCAGGTCTGTGTGATGTCAGATTCTGGCGGGTTCCACCCAGTCGTCTTTTGGAGTTTGAGACCAGTTCTGGGAGCTCCCTTGGGGATCTTGGGCTCTTTCTCCCCATTCCCGCTCACCCCCCTTTCCCTCAGTGCCCCAAAGGGAATTAGGCCCTCAAAAGGGCTCAGGAGACTGATGGGGGTGGGGATGAAGGGGTAGCGAAAGGGCAAAGCAAGAGCAGACAGTGAAGAGAAAGGAGGCAGTTATAGGGAGGTGGCCTCAGTTGACAGGCAGGGAAACAGACCCGGTGTTCCTGTTCCAGTCCCCTGCACCTGCCCCTCAAAATAGGTGTGGTGCCCCCGAGGGACTGGGACAGGGAGGGGGGGCGGGGGAGGGAGATAAATCAGGATCCTGGAGGAAGCAGGCCAAAGGAGACCAAAGTGCGACGGGACTGGGCGGGTGCCAAGGGCTGATGGCTAGGGGCCAGGTTTGGGGTGAGGGGGGAGCACAAACTGCTCCTGGGATGTGGGCAGGGGGCCAAGGGACCTGACTGAGGTCCTCTTGCGCAAGTCTTTCCTTGGGAAGAAATTTGGTGCAGGGGGAGAGGGGGAGCAATTCAAAGGAAGTGCAGGTGGGGCTGGACTGGGGCCAGAGAAGGCACATTGCTGTGACCCCCCACTCCACCTCCATCACTTCCCACTGCCCAAATTTCTGCATTTTCCAGTGGGACATGGGAAAAGGACAATGCTTACCCCAAATCAATTTCCACTGGCTTTTACCTCTCTTATCCTTGAGACTAGGTCAGGGGTGGTCGATGTTATGCCCATTTTACAGAGAGAGGATGATGGCTGAGGTTCCTAGAAAGGCTTTAAAGACTGACTTGAGTCATACTTCACCTCTCTGAGACTCAGTTTTTTCATCTGGAATATGGGAATATGGACGACCAACTCAGAATTCTCCTGAGAATTCTGTGAGATAATGAATGTGCAGTGCCTGGAATATTGTAGGGGTTCAAATATGAGGGCTAAACTTAGTGTAAACTGAGGCTCCAAGAAGGGATTTGATTTGTCCAGGGGCAAGGGAGTAAGGGGCAATTTCCTTCCCCTGAATCTCAGTATCTCAGACTTCCTAGTCCATGGAGAATCACATTTCCTGCCCAGGGCTGAGCCCCTACTCTCCCCTATACCCACCCATTGAGCTAGAATTGTTTCACCACAAATTCCTGTTTATCTCATTGACAATATTCCGAAGGTGATAAGGTAGTCTCTGCCTGAAGACTTGTACAACTTTTATACTCTGTTTTACATTTTGCCTGCTTTTGAGCATGTTTGAGGACACTTACACTTTCTTTTTTAACAAATACATTCTCTTTTATTTTTAAAATATTTCTACCAAACAAGTAATTACGTCAGATACTAAAACACACAAAGACCATCCTTGTCACTTATCAGATTCTTTCACTTGCCAAGTAACAGAATCCCAACCAAAGCCAGCTTCATCGAAGAGGAAACTGACTGCAAGACTGAAGGAAGAACACCATGGATCAGGGTTTTGGAGACTGGAACTGGAGACACAAGACTCACAGGATTTGCTTTCTTGCATCGCTCCTGTCTCGATTTCTCTGCACGTTGACTTCCCTTCCTCTGCAGAGTGATCTCTCTGCCTGGCAGGAAACATGGTGTGAGGCAGACCCAGCTTTCAATGTGAACCAAGCAGGAGAGCTATATACCCAGTTTCATATATCACTCTCAGGGAAGGACTCTGATGAGTTCTGCTAGAGTAACATGCCTACCGCATGGCCCCAAACAAACTATTGCCAAGGAAATAAGGTACTATATTGGGCAAATGTACTGGCACGGGCAGCCACACCATGGGATGAAAAGGGGTATCTTGCCAAAAGGAAGTAAGGGTTCTGGGCACACTTTGAATAACAAATCCATCCCGGCCCTGCTCCCATCAGTCAGAAATAACCAGTATTAGTATTTTTGGGTACATATTCCTCCAGACTCTTTGGGATGCATATACATATTCACATTTCCTACTACAGTCCCAACCCCCAATGAGCATATTTCAAGGTACTAAAACAAAAAGTCAAGGAAAGTCAAATATATGAAGGAAAAAAGGAAATAATCCTCTTCTCCCCTTTGTTATTAAAAAGGTGACAAAACAACTCAGACATCTCCATCAATTCTCTAACCTGACACTGGAGGGGTGAATGGTTTTCTAAGATTAGAGAAAATGGAAGAATTCTTTTTTTTTAAGATATTTATTTATTTGAGGGGCGCCTGGGTGGCTCAGTTGTTAAGCGTCTGCCTTCGGCTCAGGTCATGATCCCAGGGTCCTGGGATCGAGCCCCACATCGGGCTCCCTGCTCGTCCGGAAGCCTGCTTCTCCCTCTCCCGCTCCCCCTGCTTGTGTTCCCTCTCTCGCTGTGTCTCTCTCTGTCAAATACATAAATAAAATCTTTAAAAAAAAGATTTTTATTTATTTGAGAGAGAGAACAGGAGCAGGGAGAGGGGCAGAGGGAGAGGGAGAGAGACAAGCACACTCCCCGTTGAGTGGGGAGCCTGACAAGGGGGTGAGGGTGGGGGGGACGGGGGGCTCCATCCCAGGACCCTGGGATCACAAACTGAGCTGAAGGCAGCCCCTTAACCCACTGAGCCACCCAAGCACCCGAAAATGGAAGAATTCTTATGGAAATGATGGACAGGGTTATTTACAAAACAGAAAAACATTCTTTAACTTCTATTGCTGGAAACAAACCAAAAAAACCTACCCTACTCCAAAATTATATCCAGCATTAAAAGGCAAACTTCAGACTGGGGAAATGTCTTACAGACAATGGGATAATATTTCTATTATGTGAAGAACACCTAACATTGATAACAAACAGACTAAGGACCCAATAATTGGTCAGCGGAGACAGATAAAACATGATAAACATGGGACATTTTCTACCTCACATAAGTAACCAAAGCAGTGCAAACTAAAAGGCCATTTATAGTCCTTTGATTTTGAAGTTTAAAAAACTGGTGACACCGAAGACTGTTGTCAGTGTGAGCAACAGATACTTCTACATTTCTGGTGGAAAAAGGACTTGCTAAAATCTTTTGGAAAGCCATTTGGCAATATTCATCAAAGGCTTAAATAATGGCCAGGGCTTTAAAAAAAAAAAAGATTTTATTTATTTACTTGAGAAAGTGAGAGAGAGAGAGATCATGAGCAGGGGCGGAGGGCAGAGGGAGAAGCAGACTCCCCACTAAGCAGGGAGCCCGACGCCGTACTCGATCCCAGGACCTTGGGATCATGACCTGAGCTGAGCGCAGCTGCTTAAACAAATGTCCAGGCCTTTTGACCTAGGCATTCCTCTTCTGGGAATTAATTTCAGGGAAATAGTCCTAAATTAAGACAAAGCTGTATACTCCAAGATATTTGAAGAAATATTTTTCTAACAGCAAAATTTAGAAGAAATCACAAAGAAGGGAATGATTTAAAAACATCAGGTATGCCTATGAGATGTAATACTTCACAGTTCATAAACTAATGGTAATGCAACCTACTTAATAAAAGGATAGGGGCACCTGGGTGGCTCAGTCGTTAAGCGTCTGCCTTCAGCTCCGGTCATGATCCCAGGGTTCTGGGATCGAGCTCTACATTGGGCTCCCTGCTCCATGGGAAGCCTGCTTCTCCCTCTCCCACTCCCCCTGCTTGTGTGTTCCCTCTCTCGCTGTGTCTCTGTCAAATAAATAAATAAAATCTTTAAAAAAATAATATTAAAAAAAAGGATAAAAATGCTTGTAATGTTAAGCAGGTACGCAGTTTGGCAACTTCAGTTTAAAATGTGAACCAGGGCGCCTGGGTGGCTCAGTTGGTTAAGCGACTGCCTTTGGCTCAGGTCATGATCCTGGAGTCCCGGGATCGAGTCCCGCATCGGGCTCCCTGCTCAGCGGGGAGTCTGCTTCTCCCTCTGACCCTCTTCCCTCTTGTGCTTTCTCTCTCTCATTCTCTCTCTCTCAAATAAATAAATAAAATCTTTAAAAAAATAATATTAAAAAAAAGGATAAAAATGCTTGTAATGTTAAGCAGGTACGCAGTTTGGCAACTTCAGTTTAAAATGTGAACCAGGGCGCCTGGGTGGCTCAGTTGGTTAAGCGACTGCCTTCGGCTCAGGTCATGATCCTGGAGTCCTGGGATCAAGTCCCGCATCGGGCTCCCTGCTCAGCAGGGAGTCTGCTTCTCCCTCTGACCCTCTTCCCTCTCGTGCTCTCTCTCTCTCATTCTCTCTCTCTCAAATAAATAAATAAAATCTTAAAAAAAAAAGAAAGAAAGAAATAGAATGGATTTAAATGTCATATCCATCAACTCTTTTCTCTCCTACTATTGAAACAGTGATGTCTCATTAAAAGAAGTTTTGGGGTCAGACAGACCAGGGTTCAAACTGCATTTCTAACCCTTACCAGCTATGGGATCTTGAACAAATTATTTCAACTGTCCTGAGCCTCAGTTTCTTCAACTATAACATGGCATAATCATACCGATAAGCATACCTACTTTGTAAGGTTATTTTGAAAATGAGACAGAAAGTGACTTTCAGCCATTGTCATTGGGTTTCCAGCAGGTATCTGGTGCATAATAGATGCTCAGTAAGAAATGAGATAGAAGAGGGGCGCCTGGGTGGCTCAGTTGTTAAGCGTCTGCCTTTGGCTCAGGTCATGATCCCCTGGTCCTGGGATCGAGCCCTGCATCAGTCTCCCTGCTCTGCGGG